ACTGTTACACTTGTCGACTGAGAGTCTCTGGGGCTAAGGCCCTACTCCACACTGTAACACTTGTCTACTAACAGATTCTGGGTCTAAGGCCTTACTCAACACTGTGTACCACCAGTCTACTGATCTCAGCCTGGACTAAGGTTTACATTACATGCTTTCCATTATAACACTTGTCTACTGGCAGTTTCTGGGGCTAAGGGCCAACTCCACATTGTGTGCCACCGGTCTACTGAGAGTGTCTGGGGCTAAGGGCCTACCCACAATGTTACACTTCTGGTTTAAATAAATGAATTGATGGTGCCAAACGCCCAGGAGAATGTGTACCCTTGCACTGACCACCACCACCCCTTACCTCCATGTTCTGATCATACAGCGTGTCATTTACGACATTCAATTATAATTACAAATACAAATACTGTTATCTTGGCTGAAACACAATCACGCGATTAATTGATCCCATATCACGAGACGGCCATGTACATCCTACTGTTACTTGATTGCCATCCTGGTCGTGAACGTCTCACACCAGTGTAGCCCCATCTATTCTGCTCAGTGCGACAGCTTCATCAGCCAGTCAATCACGTCATCTTAGCTTCATCAGTCAGATATTGTCTCATCACCATGATTCTGTTGGGTAAGCATTTCTTCTCTTGAGTAAGTGAGTATGGTTTTACGCCGCTTTTAGCACTATTCCAGCAATATCACGGCGGGGGACACCAGAAATGGGCTTCACACATTGTACCCATGTCGGGAATCGAACCCGGGTCTTTGGCGTGACGAGCGAATGCTTTAACCACTAGGCTACTTGACCGCCCCTCTCTTCTCTTGAAGTCTCAAAGCACAGCGATTGTTGTGAAGTAGCTGTGAATCCCCAGTCACGTGGTACGTCATGGAGAAATCATGAGAATATTTTGATTCTATTTCCTGAATCAACAGATTGGAGTGACTTCTCCGACTTAAACCATATTACGGGTAATATATATTTTTCTTTAATTTTGCATTATGACCTACATTTGCGAAAGTTTTACTTACACAAAATGCACGTTCAGAATAGTCAGTGAAAACCTGGCTCTCTAACAAACGCAAAAGTAATAGCATGAAGTCATCTTATGGTTTAATTTCGAAATAAGATCTCTTCGTTTACTGATCAGTGGCTGTGTGCTTATTATTTCGTCATATAAAATTTCTTGGCGATATTTTCATTGTACATTAGTTTCAGAAGTCGTTTATTGTTTTTTTGCCCAAAATAATTGTAAATGAAACCACATGATAGATATTTTCCCCAAGAACCCAACATTATGAGTGAGTGAGTTTGATTCAACGCCGCTTTTAACAGTATTCCAGATATTATCAGGGCGTGTCAGCTTAATGTGGTCTCAGACGTCTACCACTTCGGTGAAACCCACGAGCACGGGTATGGTGCTGACAAACCTAGTAACATAATCGGGGCGAACCGGGATTCGAACCCATAATCACAGGTTTCTGGCGTGCCCAAGGGACGCAACTCTGCACAGAGAATCGCGGCGCCTTAGACGACTGGGCCACCCAATCTCATGTCGGCCTTCAGTGAACAGTCACATAGCCTGCCGTTACAAATAACACTGTGAAAAGTTAACTTTGAGACGGATATATCGATGCAAATGTCAAAACTGACAATTAGGATTATTCCAACTTCTAACTCTTCATAGGTCATTATTGAGTGTTGACATTTTAATAACGAAAAGCAGACGTTACCGACGTAAGTTAGAGTCGCCATTTTTGTTTACAAATTGACGTGTAAATATCACGTGATTTTGACACGTTTTCGTACAATTCACGTCCAGCAATTTGCATATGTCAAAAGTTGGCCCGACTTGCAGGTTCACACGTTGCAATGTGTTTCATGCAACAAATTGTTAACAATTAGCTGTACCGCGTGAATGCCCCTTTAAATGTATGTCTGTGTATCCTAGCTCTGACATGACAATGTGGAACAGGAGGGTCTTTTAGTTGTGGCGCATTTTCTACTTTTGCTGGCCTTTTGTGCTCATTCAACTTTGCTTTACGAAAAGGTCAACGCCATTAATTGGGCTCAAATTTCGTCGGCCATTTTGGATTAAAAATGGCCGATATTTTCGGCCATATGTAGTTAGTGTGCATAAAAATGGATGGAGTGGTGATTCAAACATAAAATTGCGTTTTGTAATAAGTAAAACACTCTCTTATGATAATACAAGAATTCTAACATGTATTATTGTCTGTTTCAAATTACTTCATTTATTCATACCAGTGTAGTTAGATTTTCACCAAAGTGTTAAGGGGCGAACCATTTGCTATTTAGGGGAGGTTGGGGATGTAGGTGATTTTAAAACAGAACATTGAAAATAGCCGTGTAATAAAGCTTCGATATGGTAAAAGACCATTTTTAACAACATCAGCGTGGAGCAACAGTCCAGTGTGCAGTTTTCTTCAGATGGGCAGAAAAATTGTCAACTTCACATGTTTTTACTTACAACTGCTCCAGGAATAGATTGTAGATGATGGACAAAAATAGCATAACTGTTGATGTAAACTGACGAAGAAACGTTCCCAAACTGAAATTTGGTTGAGAATCACAACCAAAACAATTTGCTGAGTCATGAACGTGCTACAGAACCCAGATTCTGGGAATTGCTAATAAAGATATCTCATATCTGCATTTTACACTATTTTCCTTATGACCTGGAAACAGTTACTGAAATTGAAAAGCCTCCCGTCAAGGAAAAGGGTATTCGCTCGTCTTTCCTCATTTATGATTAATATTGTAACAGTGATAACTACACTGAATGGCAAAAGAAACGTCACTTCTGAAAAATACTGATAAAACTTAAAATACACTGGCAGTTACATGTTCTGTGGTCAATAAACTCATTTATCGTTCTTCTGCTTCGTTTTGTTGCCTTAAAGTCCATTTAACAATTGAGTTTAAAATGGAGTACTTTGCCCAAACGCAGCTTACAAAACTGCAATGGGACTCAGTTGCGGAAAAGTCTTGATATAAACATGATGCACGTGCATATCGTGGATGGAATGGGAATAAAAGACACCCAAAACTGTAAAGCTGGCTTTCCTTATTTCGATTCATCAGCCATGCCAAGATTATCAGGAAATGAGAGACCACAAGCGATCGGAAGACTGCAAGCAGGCCAGAGTGCACAGGTCGTTGCAAATGCATTCAATGTCAACGTCAGAACGATATATCGTTTGCAACATCGCCTCAACACCACCAACACCACCGACGACCGACCGCGAAGTGGTCGTCCTTGAGTCATACAAGATCGGTTCATGATACGCCAACATCTGCTGAACCGATTCCGAATAGCCACTGAAACAGCTCGGCAAACCATTGGCAACCACCAGCGTGCCATCAGTGATCGTACAGTCCGACGTAGCTCACTGCCAACAACATCTCGTGCCACCATCCTGCTCGTGTACCCATCCTGAGAGATTGTCACTGACAGGCCCGACTGCAATGGGCCAGGCAGCATCAAAATTGGCGTCAACAGCAATGGAGAAGAATCATCTTCACTGATGAAAGTCGCTACTGTGTTTCAACGGTGGATGGCAGAGTCAGGGTCTGGCGAAGGAGGGGCGAACGTTATGCTGATGCTAGTATTATGGAACGAGACCCGTGGGGCGGCCCAAGCATCATGGTTTGGGGTGGAATCGGACTGAACCAGAGAGTGGGACCTGTGGTCTTTCAGAATATTGGTCACAGCTCTCCGCTACATTGACCAAGTCCTCAGACCCTATATCATGCCTTTTTTTGCCTGTCACCAAAACCACACCTTTCAGCAAGATAACGCCCGTCCCCACACTGCCAGAGTCACCAGGGACTTCCTCAAGCAGAACAACATCCAAATCATGCCTTGGCCTGCCCTCAGTCCGGATTTGAATCCCACTGAACACTTGTGGGATGAGATCCAAGCCGACTTAACGACGTGCGCCCAAGGCCGACAACTGAGGATATGGGCCCATATCCTAATGGCCTTCATCAACAGGCTTGTCCACTCCATGTATAGGAGATGTGTGGCTGTAGTCAACGCCCGTGGTGGCCACACCAGGTACTAATTTTGAACGCCCCAGCTGTGATGTCTTCTGGTGCCTCCCCGAATTCACAATTCGCAAAAACATTCCCCAGACTGTTAATTTCATGTGGGTCAAACACTGACTTTCTCCGATGTCTTTACTTACATATATAAGCATTTGAAAATAAAGATATTTATATGATACATGCACATGACGTTTCTTTTGCCTTTAAGTGTACTCAGATGATGGCTTGTTTTTAAAAGAAAGTTGTCTTTTATAAGTGAATGAGATGTTTTACAGTTGTTCATGTGATCAGAAAGAAAACCACGAATGTTACTTCAGCGTCCAATAACCCATGGGGATGGTTTCAGTAAGGAAGCGCTACCGACATTGTTGTGAGATTGTAGTGGTTTCTGTTGTGCACAGTCTTTTGTATGGTTCTGCTATATTAGCATGTGCAAGGGAGGCGTTTGTAGAGTAAATCTTTATTACGACCCTCGAACCGGAGGAGCCTGCTTGAGGGATATAATTACTGTATCTGTATTGAGGGGCTAAAACAAGGACTGGTCGGCTCAAAGTCAGTATACTGTGTCTAAGTGGGGTATTCGTGTTAAACTGCGGCATGGTATCTCAGTGGCGAGCAGGATGAATCGGCATCAGTCCGGACTAGTACAAGCGGCCACACACACACACACACACACGTACGTGCACGTCGCTATATAAGTGCAATTATCTTGGACATGACGTAAAACCCAATTTCACCTCACCTCACCCAACTCACTCACTCAGTACTTCAGGTGTACGCAAAAACAAACTCGTGTATATATTCAATACAACCAAACGTCTTCAGGCTTGAACAATGCCACTATGAGTGCAGATCTGACGACGTCTCGATACAAATCGAGTCAGATGAACCCAAATAAAAATGTATTATAATGTTTGTTTATTTGCAGTAATATTCGCCGTTCTGATGTTTGGGGAGAGCACAGATCAGCTACACACAGAAGCACTGTCACAGGAGATAGCGTGCGCACCATGCAACTGCACCAAGACAGCCGATGAGGACATCCACGCTGATTGTTCAAACAGACATCTAGATACCATACCACCCTCAATACCTTCAGGTGTCATACATTTGATGATGGCCAATAACGTGTTGACCAATCTCTCTGCCGATGACCTGCATCAATTCTCACAATTAAAATATCTGGACTTGTCCAAAAACAAGATAAACATTTTGCATGCTGATGGCTTCAAAGGGGCTGTTGCATTGTTGAGGCTAAATCTCCACGGTAACCAACTTACTCTGAACAAGACCACATATCCGAAAGGATTGTTTCAAGATCAGACAAAGCTTGGAGTCCTCGACCTAAGTGGAAATACAGTGGTCAAGAAATCATCTTATCCTGATGAGAGTCTTGGAAACCTGGTCTCTCTTCATACGTTGGTGGTTGATGGAATCGAGAACTGCACCTTTGGTGAAGGATTTGCCAGATTAAAGAATCTTACTACTCTAATCATATCAGGCAGGAGAGGATATTGTTCCATACATTGTTTGTTGAATGAGTCTTTTATCCATACACCCCACCTCAGAATTCTTGATATCAGCAAATGTAAAATCACACTTATTGATGTAGGTTCATTTCTTCCCTTGAGAAATATTGACAGATTAGACATGTCAGAGAATGAACTGGGGTTTAAAACATTTGGTGACTCTATGTATGGCCTTATAAATTCGTCCTTGAGAGTCATTAAGCTGAATAGAATCACAAACATTTACGCCATCGGTGTTCAAATACAATTGACACATGTCCGTTTCTTCAATGAGATGCAGGTAAAGGAGATCTACCTTGACTGCAATAGTATTGAGAACATAGAAAACTCTGCTCTACAGGTTTTTACTTCAGTTGAAATCATCTCCATGAAGGGTAACGATTTTCAGCCTGGGTCTTACATGTTTGCTACAGACCAATTGGTTAACCTTCGGCAACTATTCATCAATAATCCTTATGCAATCAGTGGACCTTTACCTGAATTTGCAACTAACTCTGATTCATGCATCAGCACAGAGCATGATTACGACAAAGCCTTCAATTTTTACCCAGAGAAAAATATATATGTGGACACTGTTCAAAGACGTCAAACAAGATCTTTAGTGCATGGAAAAGATCAGACACGTAAACGTATGCTTGTACAGAGAAAGTTCAATGGCATTCCCACAAAGATGGACATATCACGGCCAAAGGCGAAACGAATATTCTCGGATCAAAATCGAACCAGCAGGCCTACCTTTAAAGAAAAAGAAGAATTTATTCAGTATTCCTTGAATATTCAAATACCCATTGCCCCGAATGCAACATTTGTTAATGTCAGTAACAGGTATATTCGATCTAAAATTGGGAAAATATCCTTTTTGCCAAATAAGATACAAACGCTTGATTTATCAAATAACATTTTAACAAATTGGGAAGGTCCAGTTCTTCAGGTCCAAAACATTAAATTTCTGGATCTATCAAACAATTTTTGCAAATTTATTGCGCCAACGTTTCTGAAACATTGTAGTGGTCTACAAATATTGAATATCAGCCAGAATTACCTCGCTGAGTCCCTTGAAAACGATACAACAGGGGAGATATTTATCAATCAAAAGAATTTAGAAATATTCAGAATCTCTAATAATGTTATTTATCATTTGCCCCCTTTAATTTTTGCAAGCTTGGATAAACTGAAAGTCCTTGATTTGAGCTGGAATATGATGAGTTCGTGGGTTGTCAACATACGTCAAATGACACATTTGTATTTATTAGATTTGTCCAACAACAGATTTGAAGGTGTTCCAAAAAGTCTTCGGAATCAGATTGATGAAATTGTGATGGTCAGGAATGACACATTTCACATCAGAATGAAAGGCAACAGCCTTAAATGTACGTGTGATACTCTGGAGGACATATGGTGGATGTTGGAGCCATATGTCGTCGTGGAGGAAGTATCTGATACCCAATGTACCTTGTCAGATGGAACCATAGTGTCTTTGGACAATCTCAACAACCTTGTACTGGAGCTCCACGAGAGGTGTAAGACTGTTATTCCACTGATATTTGGAGCAACCACGGGGCTCATTTTATTTGTTTCAGTGTTAGTAGGTGGCATCATCTATCGCTATCGGTGGAAGCTGAGGTATTTGTACTACACAACTAGAAGGAAGTACAGAGGTTACCAGAGGCAGCTGGGTGAAGAAGACAACTTCAGATATGATGCTTTTGTGTCATATGCAGACGAGGACAGAGAGTTTGTTGTGCAGGACATGAATGCCATTCTGGAGCAGAGGTTTGGATTGAGAATTTGTATACACCAGAGGGACTTCATGGTTGGTGAGCCAATCACTGCCAACATAGTAAACGCAATACAATCAAGCCGGAAGACCATAATCCTTCTCACTCCGAGCTTCCTTGCAAGTTCCTGGTGTGACTATGAGGTCCACATGGCCAAACTGGAGAGTATCCACACTGGAAGAGATATCCTTTGTGTTGTGTGGCTCATTGATATTCCTGATACCAGCAAGATCAGCAGGGATGTATTGGATGAAATTGAGCATGGTACTTACATCCAATACCCAGCAGACGAAATAGACAAAGAAGAGTTCTGGCAGAAGATAAAGGCAGCCATAAGCTTTTGAGATGACTGTGGCCCTCCAAACACAATACGTGACCTAACTATGAGGAAAGCTGCTTGTGTTTATTGATCTGAAATGACAGTGTCGTTTTCTGAAAGGTTCAACATGTTTTATCAATTTGAAAAGGAACATATACAGATTGTTTTGACGGATAAATTAATTGTAGTTGTGTTGTGTAATTGTCGTTTAAAACATTTGTAAATATGCTTATATCTGTCATATCAATGTCACGTTGTCTTGTGTGTACAGTGAGTGAGTTTCACGCCACTTTGAACATTATTCCACTATTATCATTATATCACGGAGTGTCAGCATAATGTGGGAGGACAGCCGAAGTGATGCATGTCTCAGATCCACGGGCACGGGTGTGGTCCTGTGTACAACGCACAGGTCACAAATGAGGTAAACTAAGGCAACGTCGGTTGGATGCGTTGGATGAGTGACAGTGTTCGTCAGCTTGACTCCTGAGAGTTTCTAGGTCTTCGGCCCTGCCCCGTACTAAAGCACACATAGCACATGTGGTGTTTCTTCAGACAAGTGATTTTGTTCGAAATGTGCCTCTGTTCACCCAATAGTGAATGGGTACCCGGTAGTATGAGATGGTAAAGTGAATGTTAACCTTCTGGCGCCTCATAGGCAGCTTCGGTCGTATATTCGAGTGCACACTGAACCATTGACTGGGTAAATAATGGTGCTTCAACGGATGGACTACAGCGCATTACAAATATTCAATGACATTTGTTATTATCACGACCGTTTAATATATGGTTATTGTTGTACTTACAAATATTTGTATAAACGAATACATTATTGCTTTGTTTTGACTGATGATTATTCATGGCCTATCCGTGGAGCTGAATATGTTTACAAGTCAAAGCATTTTGCGACAAATACGAACACTGGGAAATGGTGACCAAGGGTGGATCTGGGATTCGAACTTGTGACCAGCAGATCCTTGCAGGTAAGGGACGCAACTCGTTTGTTTTAAATAAAAAAGGCGAATACTGATTGCTTTGTGTGGATAGTGAGTGAGTGAGTATGGTTTTACGCCACTTTCAGCAATATTCCAGCCATATCACGGCGCGGGACACCAGAAATGGGCTTCACACATTATACCCATGTCGGGAATCGAACCCGGGTCTTCGGCATGACGAGCGAACGCTTTAACCACTAGGCTACCCGACCGCCCCTTATTTGGATAGTGAATTGATGGTATAACTATAAGAAAACACACACGTTCATGCACATTGCTAAGGAAGTTTAATAATCTTGAACGCGACGTCAGAGCCCATTTCACCTCACGTTCAGTTACAGGGTCTTTGGGGCTAAGAGCCTGCTCCCCCACACTGTCACATTTGTCTACTGAGAGTTTCTAGGGCCAAGGGTCTGTTCTACGCTGTAACGCTTGCCTACTGAGCGTTCTGGACCTATGGGTGTGCTCCAAACTGAATCAATTATCTATTGACAATTTCTGAGGCCAAGGACCTGTTCCACACTGTAACACCTATCAGCTGAGACCTTCTGGCCGTTATCTGACCGTGTGAGGAGCTAAGGGCCAACCCACACTGTTACACTTGACTCTGAGAATTTGTCCGACTTTGGGCCTGCCCCACACACAGCATCCCCAACACACACACCCTTACTACTGAGAGAGTGAGTGAGTGAGTGAGTATGGTTTTACGCCGCTTTTAGCAATATTCCAGCAATATCACAGCGGGGGACACCAGGAATGGGCTTCACAAATTGTACCCATGTCAGGAATCGAACCTGGGTCTTCGGCTTGACGAGCGAACGCTTTAACCACTAGGCTACCCGACCGCCCCACCACTGAGAGAGAGAGAGAGAGTCAATACAATGAGGGTTTAAAGAGAGCCATTACGGAGTTCCCAGACCAATACGGGTTTAAAGAGAATTAATACCATCAGGGTTTAAAGAGAGTCATTACGGAGTTGCCAGACCAATACGGGTTTAAAGAGAGTCAAAGCGATAAGGGTTTAAAGAGAGTTATTACGGAGTTGCCAGACCAATACGGGTTTAAAGAGAGTCAATACGATAAGGGTTTTAAGAGAGTTATTACGGAGTTGCCAGACCAATACGGGTTTAAAGAGAGTCAAAGCGATAAGGGTTTAAAGAGAGTCATTACGGAGTTGCCAGACCAATACGGGTTTAAAGAGAGTCAATACGATAAGGGTTTAAAGAGAGTTATTACGGAGTTACAAGGCCAATACGGGTTTAAAGAGTCATTGTGGATTTGCTGGGCCAATACAGATTTAAATAAGATCAATACGGATTTACCGGGCCAATACGGGTTAAAAGAGAATCAATACGATAAGGGTTTAAAGAGAGTATATTTACGGATTTGCCGGGCCAATACGGATTTAAAGAGAGTCGTTACGAATTTGCCGAGCCCATACAGGTTTAAAGAGTCATTACGAACTTGCCAAGACAATACGGATTTAAAGAGAGTCATTACGAATTTGCCGAGCCCATACGGGTTTAAAGGGAGTCATTACGAATTTGCCGAGCCAATACGGGTTCAAAGAGAGTCATTACGAATTTGCCGAGCCCATACGGATTTAAAGAGAGGCATTACAAATTTGCCGAGCCAACACGGGTTCAAAGAGAGTCATTACGAATTTGCCGAGCCAATACGGATTTAAAGAGAGTCATTACGAATTTGCCGAGCCAATACGGGTTCAAAGAGAGTCATTACGAATTTGCCGAGCCAATACGGATTTAAAGAGAGTCATTACAATTTTGCCGAGCCAATACAGGTTTAAAGAGAGTCATTACGAATTTGCCGAACCCATACGGGTTCAAAGAGAGTCATTACGAATTTGCCGAGCCCATACGGGTTTAATGAGAGTCATTACGAATTTGCCGAGCCAATACAGGTTTAAAGAGAGTCATTACGAATTTGCCGAACCTATACGGGTTTAAGAGAGTCATTACGAATTTGCCGAGCCCATACGGGTTTAATGAGAGTCATTACGGATCTGCGGCCAAAAAGTCCTTATCGCATGCCTTGGCGAGAACTCTTAAAGGCGCCTAAGAATGAAAGGCATGGTATAAGAGGTGAGGTGAAAATGGGTTTAACGTCGCGTCCAAGATTATTGCACTTATATAGCGTCGTGCATGTACGTGTTATGTTTGTGTGGCTGATTGTACTAGTCCGGACTGATGCCGATTTATAGTGCTAGCTCACTGAGATACCATGCCGCAGTTTAACATGAATACCCCACTCAGACACAGTATACTGACTCCGAGCCGACCAGTCCTTGTTTTAGCCCCTTAATGCCGAGCGCCAGACAGGGTAACAACAAGTTCCATCTTTTAACGTCTTTTGGTATGACGCGGCCGAGGATCGAACCCCGGACCTTCCGCTCTCCGGGCGGACGCTCTACCATTAGACCACCATGGTATAAGAAGTTAGTACAAGTGCCATAACTGAGGCAGAAAACCACGCATCTTTACTTTCATCTCTTGGTTTGACTCTTAAACCAGAAGACATGACCATTCCTCTTTTATACTGGTTTACAAAACTTCAAAATTCCGTAAAAAGAGAAATATATGTATGTGTCCTGAAAATGTACCACCCATCCCTGTCTCAAAGGTAGGTCATCTTCCTTATCTTCTGGGGGCGGTCGGGTAGCCTAGTGGTTAAAGCGTTTGCCCGACACGCCGAAGACCCAGGTTCGATTCCCGACATGGGTACAATGTGTGAAGCCCATTTCTGGTGTCCCCCGCCGTGATATTGCTGGAATATTGCTAAAAGCGGCGTAAAACCATACTCACTCACTCCTTATCTTCTGGAAAGTATTATACAAAACTGCTAGAATACAGTAGTGTACAAACTGATCTGTCAATTCCATGAATATCTACGGCAAGTGCGATTTTTTTCCATGAGGTCATATTACACCAAACCGTTCACTGGTAGGGTTTATTGGATTAAAGGCTTGTGAAAACATAAATGTGTTGAAAGTAAGAAATTCATCATCCCTTTTGAAATTATCTTTGTATTGATCTCTCATGTTATTAATTTATTATTGTATTACTACGAACATTTCTGGTGAATTCAACAACATTGTACCAACTTTTGGTGTACAGAAAGTGTACATTTATTTTGCTTTTCCCTCTCATGATTAAATAAAATCGCTCACTGGGAACATTTATTTGAATAAAATAAATGGCTTGTGTAAATACAAATATGTTACTGTGCTTGGGTGCTTCATGCGTATTGTACAAACATTCACCATTCATTTTGAAACTATTTTTGTATTGATCTTCAGAATTATTACTTTAATAGCGTTTTAATGTAAACATTATTGCGGAACTTCTGGAACATATTGTTCCAACAACTAAAACAGCAGCATGCTCGTGAATGCCAATAAACCTATTGATATGTATTATGGGCCTGCGCCCTACATTACTGAAATAAATATGGTCTGGCTGACTTATATATGCAAGGAAGCAATTACTTTATATTCTCAGAAAATATTTGAAAAAAAGTGAATTAATACCATGTTGACTCTCAAACTCTTAAATGATTTGCTTGATTTTTTGCAATCTCAGAAAAGAACAATGTTCAATTACTAGTATGCCAAAACATTTCATATTTAAACATCGTAAAACTTTACCCCTTGATCCATGGGGCTTTTGTTACGTTGTTTTAGTAACAAAACGTAGTTGCACAGGTGTTGTTACATTTCTATATTCAAGGGTTCGGGATAATTTGTCAGAAATGAAAGAATTGAGAAATCACTATCTGAAATGCTGGACTTTCTCATAGATAGCATCTCTGTGGTGATAAGACGTTCAGGCAAGACGTTGGCATCCCCGTGAGCACCAAGTGTGCTCAGTGATGACTGTTGTGCCCAATTGTGCTGATCTGTTTCTTTCGCACACGAGTCAGTTTTTCCGGTCGGATTGTCAAAATCAAACAAGGGAATCTGGCCAAGAAGTTTAACTTAAGCTTCATGAATATCGATGACCTGATCTCGTTTAAAACATGGTCAAATAGCCAATTCCCTTTCCCTGATACCCACCTGGACGAGACATAAAATAGAAACGAAATGGTAACACGCAAAGGTGTTGGGGTGAGAGTGGGTAGTAATATAGAATACTAAACGAGCTCCCGTGTAATACCAATTTTATGAAACGAGTGAATAGTTGTGGTATGTGACGAGCGAAAGCGAGTCAGATACCCCTCGACTATTCACGAGTTTCTTAAAATTGGTTTTACACGGGAGCGAGTTTAGTATTTTATTTATTACTTGCTATTTATAACGTTTTTTGAATTATACTGTTGAGTATGAATAGGCTGACACCTACACGATCCACGGCATAGTCCAATTGAGTTTAACAGAATAATACTTCAAACACGTCAAAAGTTGAAAACGTATGAATTTAATACCATAAAACGGTCCACCTTCAGAATTCTGAAAATTATGGTAGGGCTAAGACTATCGCAACTCACATACTTTAACTTAGACTAACGACTGTCGTTGCGCTACAATACGATCGCCTTGTGGAACGGGCCTTGCACCTCAAAGTTCACAATAACGTCACAATACCCGATGACGTAATTTGTGGAATTTTGTTGCAAGATCCATCGGCGAAACAATGCCATGTGACGTCAGCCTAGCAACAAGATTGCTGGGGTCATCGAGTGTGCATAAGCTCCTCTCAGTAATCTATCAACTCCACAC